ACCAAAATCACGTCAATCAAAGATTGGCTAATGTCTGTGATGCGGGTTGGAGATTCGATAATTTGTTTGAGATTGAGTTCTGACGTCATTTCGGTTAAAGATTTACATTCTCGACTTGTTGTATTCAGCATGTTGCAATTTAGGTCTCCCAAGATGATGGTCGGTTTTAGCATACTGAGAGCATGGACGTACTGAGGTTTGAGAGAATTTTCGAAACAGTCAAGTGGACAATCTGGAGGACGATAACGGACACAGGCCAGTAAGGACTTAGTTTTCTTATACTGCAAATTAATCCATAATTGGTGGAAGCTTGTGTCAGAGATCTGAGTAAGTTCTTTGATCACCGATGACTTTATGTTTTTACGAACGTATGCACAAACACCGCCGCCTTTCTTATACAATCGATCCAGGTGATGTAATTTGTAACCATCGATTTCTAATTTCTTATTTGTTACCGTAGTGTTCAAACATGTCTCGGAGACAGTAAAGACGTCAATTCTATTTGTTCTAACGAGTTCTTTCAATTTGCCGTCGTCATTGTAAATTCAACCGGTCTTCCTTCTAGGAATAACTTTACTGCGAGGCTACCTAGATACAAGCTGGTATCTCATCGGCTGTCGAGAAAGGCATAGGTTATACGTTCCTTTGGGCTTCTGCTGTCACAAACTCTCACGGGTATAACCTTTAAACAAACTCTAGGATTCCTCGCATTGACCACTCCAACTGTCGCTTGTGCATCTTCACCCATTGCATTGGTATGTTTCGTCACATTTCCGGGTGATGGAGGCTGAAAGGTTTCCTGCGCTTATTTTAACATCATAGTCCTCTTTAGCTTCCTCTTTGCTTTCTGTTTCAGGTGGGTGCATCAAATCATGATGTTCCTGGCCGCAATCCTTTTTCCTGCAAATAAATCGTCTTTTGCACGACCTTGTAAAGTGCGCTCCTTCAAGGCATCTTTTACACAATTTCTTTTCTGAGACAACTTTCAACTTTTCTGGATACGAAGAAGTCTTGAACGTTTCGCACTTCAAATCGCATGACTTCCAGAACACATGGGACAAGGTGGATAAGTTGCAGGACTGCCGCTTCTCGTTATTCGACTCTTGTAATCTTGCACGTTACCTTGATTAGCAAAGGTTCTAATCTCATCGCCTTTTGATCGGTTGAGATATCTCCTCTTTGTTTCATCTTGTCTTTTCTGAGACATGGAGCTATTAGGTTCATCCCCAAACACGTTACTTAAGCGATCTCCAGCCGACAAAATCTCCAATCTCATTGAAATCAGCGAAATCTCCACGAAATCGACGAAATCTCCAAACTTTACTTGTCCTCTAGATATTACGAAATCGCCGGCTTTGTCAGCCCACCTCTTCAGATTCTGGTTTGGCAACTTATTCATTAACATTTTAATGTATCTTCATTATCCAAACGACACACATTATGTTGCCCCAAGCTGGTAAGTGTTCTTCTAACATCTTCTAATTTTCTAGCTAATTCCACGAGATTAGGAGCGTCTGCTTTTCTTAACTGAATATCCCTTTACTTGTTCACGTTTGCATTCATTATCATATGTGGTTGACCAAATTCTTACGTAATGTATCCAACGCCGTGACATACCGCTGATGGACCAGTAAACTCACACAACTTTTAATTGCTTCCTATGTCTTTCCTTCACACTGTGCTAGCAAACGAGTCAGCCTCTGAGAACTATCTTGTACTTGGCTTTCAATGTTATCACAAACGTTTGTCATAAATTCAGCATGTTCGGCTGGATCACCACTGAATTTTATCAGCTGGACTCTGGGTAAAGATGGTCGTTGTCTAAGTGACTCCGCTAAAGTCATCCAAGGATCAAAATTACGCTTTCGTATTGCGAGTGGTAGCTGGTAGTGCGACGATTGAGGTGGAATAAGCCAATTTGGTGGAACATATGACTGATACACTAAGGAAGGCACTGGCTGATAAACATATGTTGGTTGCGGTTGGTTGTCACTCGCAAGGGTGTTACAAGCAGAGCGCTAGCGAGCAACCGGAATGGTGGAACTGGTACTCAGGACACAGGAATTAACAAGGGGTTGGGTGTTCCGTTTGGTGGAAGCTAAATCGTAAACTGGAAGGTTTTTTATTCTGATCAATGTCACTGCTAGTGGGACAGTCGATACCACCGACTGCAATGGTATTATACTGGCCAGACGTTCCAGCTGTCTTCGTAGTGGAACTTGAACCTTGAGTAGGCGACGCGGTATTCTTGCCAGCAGATATAATGTTCAATTCTGATTTCTTACACTCTCTAGGTAAATAAACGCCAGTGCCTTGAGCAACACTATGCTGTATTTCTTGTTCCCCTTCGTCATCAAATCTTCTGTTTCTATCTTGTGCTTTATCTCATATAACTTAAGATCGGTCTCGACATCCAAAAGCTGAAGTTTCCTCACACTTTCTGCCTTCCTCAATTACATTTCTCTCTCAAACTCTAGTTTCCTTCTTTCTATTTCATACTGTTCCTCTTCTATCTGACGTTCAATCCTTTGCTTATCTTCAAGAGCTTGAACTTTTAACTTCGCTTCTTCTCTTTGACTAAGTCTTTCCTTAACACTGCTTTGTCTACTTAATGCAGTACTAGCATAACTTCTACGGGTATTAGTCCTGCTACTTATGGCGGATCTAGCACTCGATAATCGTCTCTCTTCATTCTTTCTATCATGATATCTGTTCATACAGCCATTATACCATATGTTAATGTCTTTCTGATTATTATATACAGTATGTCTATAGCAATGGCTGCTTTTTATCTAGATATTTCTCATGCGCATCCGAAAACTTCTTAAATGCAGTCTCGTAATCGCTCACGGCTTGCTCAACAATGGCAGAATCTGTTTCATTAGCCACAGCATCTTCTAATTATTTAGTTTTCTGTTTTACATTGTCCAAATGTCCGACCTTACGTAATTTGAGATCCCTAGCATGTTCAGATCTTACCTCGTCTTGACCTAAAGTTCTGTTTGCTATCCTGGATCTCGACCATGTGTTTGAAGATATACTTTCCTCGCCAACAGCTTCCTCATTCTCTGACGACATCATCGATCTTCATACTATACACTTCATCGTCGACAAGTTTAAATTATGTAAATTCTGCTCCAGTTAATCAATATTCGTCTTTTAATATTTGTTCCTCGATATATTCATAAACCCGACAAGTTCACATTAGATAAATTCGTTCGATTTAAACTAAATACAATAATTAAACGTCAATACAACTAATGTTAAAATAATGGAAAATTACTATCTATAAATGAATAGTTTCTTTACCTTGACGTGGAGACATTCTAAATGTTCTAAATATCTAAAAATTCTATTTTTCCCTTTTTACTCTGTAAAAACCTTCCCGAGGGCTGCAGTCAAGGACATGAATCACCAGTAGGGAAGCCAGCCTGACTATTTACTCCGGCTATGTTAATTTTTCCGAGTTAATGGTCTGTAAAAACAATTGATTTGTAAAGAAAATAATAATGATAATGAATTGAAATTTACATAGCAGGAGTAAAAAGTCGGGCTGGCTTCGCCACTGTGAATCACTATCTAAAACCCACGCTTGAGAAGAATCCTGAACTGATTGTGCTACATGTCGGAACAAACGACATCCCTAAGAAGAATCCGTCGGATATAGTTCACGAAATTGAATCACTGGGTAAAATCATTGTAGAAAATGGATCAAATAAAGTTGCAATTTCTTAAATAATTCAAGGAGTAGACCAAGTACTGAACACTAAGGTAAAGGAAACAAATACCCTGTGGGGAACGGCCGGTTCGGTCCCGCTCAGTTCGATCCCACAAGATCACAAATTCACTCACAGTTTAGTCATAAACATAAAATTATATTTCACAAAAGATTTAGCTCTCGCTCACTTGGCTCACAATCACACAAGACAGAAAACCTGCACAGACACTTATCTTTCAACCCAACAAAAAGGATTATATGAGTTCAATTAACTAATGACGTAGTTCGAATAATAGGCTCTAGTTGAACAGTACATGATAACACCTAGCTTAAGGCAATTTCCGACACAATCACCCATGTAACTTCAGAAGGAAGGCACATGAAAGGAGGAATTGTCTCGTCAGGTAAACATATATATATATATATATATATATATATATATATATATATATATATATATATATATATATATATATATATATATATATATATAGGTTAGTTGCATTTCGGAGGTTAGTCCTTCAATGCTTAAAGCCAGCTATTAGTCTGGCAATGTTGTATGTGAATGTTGTGGTTTCCCACGTTTACGATTCCACTCGTGTAACGTTATGTAGTGGTTTTTCAGTTGTTTTCAGACGAGTGTATACCAAACTGGGCAAGCAGAAAATTCCACTTGATCGCGGCTGGGATTCGAAGGACTAACCATCCGAAATGCAACTAACATCATAACTTATTTAACAAGTCGTTCTCAGCTTGACCTTGTAACTCAGACGGTAGAGCATCGTTCTAGAAATACGAAGGTCGCGGGTTCGAATCCCAGCCGCGGTCAAGTGCAATTTTCTGCTTGCCCGGTTTGGTATACACTCGTCTGAAAACAACTCAAAAACCACCACATAACGTTATACGAGTGGAATCGTAAACGTGGGAAACCACAACATTCACATACAACATTGCCAGACTAATAGCTGGCTTTACGCATTGAAGGACTAACCTCCGAAATGCAACTAACATCATAACTTAACAAGTCGTTCACAGCTTGACCTTGTAGCTCAGACGGTAGAGCATCTTTCTAGAAATACGAAGGTCGCGCGTTCGAATCCCAGCCGCGTTCAAGTGGAATTTTCTGCTTGCCCGGTTTGGTATACCCTCGTGTGAAAACGACTCAAAAACCTACATATATATATATATATATATATATATATATATATATATATATATATATATATATATATATATATATATATATATATATATATACATTGCGCACGCTCACTGCTTGCAGTTTGAGCACTCTGGCATGGTTTTGATGTCCCACAATCGTGAGGCATCAAAGGTAACTGTAAATAGCAGTTACTTTCATCCTGCTCGTCAGCACTACACTGATGAGGCCCATAAGGGCCGAAACGGTACCGTCTGTAGTTAGATATTGCTCTATGGCCTATAGGTCATATTGAGCGCTCTACAGAATGAGCCATGCCGCTTACGCATTGCGCACGCTCACTGTTTGCAGTTTGAGCGCTCTGGCATGGTTTTGATGTCCCACAATCGTGAGGCATCAGAGGTAACTCTAAATAGCAGTTACTTTCTTCCTGCTCATCAACACTACACTGATGAGGCCCATAAGGCCGAAACGGTACCGTCTGTGGTTGTATATATATATATATATATATATATAGGGTACATAAGTTCAGTCACTTAGCTGTCTTGCACAGGCGCTTGTCTCTTGATCTTCTCCTTCGCTTGTACGGCCGCAACACGTTTAGGGCGGAACACCGGTGCTTCAGCACGTAATGCATTCTTCTCGGAACGATCGCACGATAACCCTAACGGATAGAGATGCTGGATTGGACATTCTAGGTGATCTTTACCTGCCCGTAACTTCACAGCTCGCACAATACCATCTTTTCCCTTCACTAATACCACGACAATCCCCAAAGGCCACTTTCCACGATTTCTCTCTTGAGTCTTAATAACGACAACGTCTCCAACTTGTAACTTTGATTCCGTTTTTCCGCTCAAATCAAATCAAATTTATTTTAGCCATAAAAAAATAATATCACACAAAAGAAGCAATAAATATACATTATACTTGGCAAGGGAGCCCAATAGAAACCGTAAGGCTTATTAATTTTGGGCTACCGCTGTTTATACAATGTCGTTCTCTTAGTGCACGAAAGTATTCTGCAGTTCAACGAGACCACAAATGATCTTTGCACTTTCTTAGATATCTCTTGCCCTTTCGTAAGTCTTTGTTTTCCACGACAGCTGGATCTTGCTCCGGTAGCAAGATGGAACCTTTGAAGAGAAATATATTGCCGGTGTCAACACCGGTAGTTGGATATCTTCTCCAGGTAACTGAGGGGGCGATTGTTGAGAGCCACTTCGACATCCAACACTACTTCGCACAATTTTGGCCATGTAAGTAAACCATTTCCAATAGACTTGTAAAAGGAAGACTTGAATACTCCTATTAAGCGTTCAAACTGTCCGCCCCACCATGGAGCTCTGCTGAGGTTAAAAGACCATGGAATGGAATGTTCAGAAAGAAAGCTGTTCAGCTTCTTGTCTCGGTGAACCCTTTTCAGCCAAAGAGCCGCTGCAACAAAGGTTTTCCCGTTATCTGAATAAATTCGTTTGGGACGACCACGACGTGCAACAAATCTTTTCAAGCTTGCGACAATCTCTGTTGCTTCGAGGCCAGGCAACACTTCCAAGAACAGGGCTCGAGTTAGAAAGCAGGCATACAGAACAAGATAAGCTTTCGACTCTACCTTTCCTTTGCGACGATAGCTAATAAAACCTGCGAAGTCTACACCAACGGATTCAAACGCTCTTGAACCATCGGTACGCGAAGTGGGTAACAAACCAGGCGGTGGTTTCGAAAGTGCTTGGGCTTGAAATCGTTTACATCCGTAACACTATCCAATGACCCGCTTTGCTAGGCTTTGTGGACGTGGAATCCAATATAACTCACGGATTTACGCCATGGTAAGCAGCATACCACCGTGTAAGGTGTCGATATGGGCTTCTGCTATTAATTTCTATTATATTAATTTTCTAATAGCTTCCACGCGAGTCGGACATGTTTTTGTGAGCTCCGTTTATTTTATATTTTTCTACTCAATATCCACATTTAATCTTATCCACATTTTAATATGTTGATACACGATGGTGATACCTATCTTTGGACCGGTTCCTTGGCTGACTTAAACTGCTTTGTTGGTGAAATTTTAAATCTTAAAGGGAAGTGGAGCTCTCCAGGAGGCGAAGCGTAGCTGTTTTGTGCTACAAACCCTGACTTTGTTATTAAATGGTTTGGCTGGCGGTCCCAGAAACTTGTGATTCAAGAAGACAGTGCTGAGAACTTTTTAACACAGAAGTTTGAGAGCTTGGTGAACAAGAGTAAAGGAAACAAAGCTGATAGCAAGAATGGCACTGATGGAGCAATTGTTAGCGATGGCGATACAGTATATCCTGATGTACTGGAGGTATGTAAATGTTCCTGCTCTGTTGATCTAGAGGGCTTGAAGCTTGAAATAACAATCTTAGAATCGCGATTATTTGCCGCAATTTCCAAAAATGAGCTTGAGTTAGATATTGATTTGCTCAGAGTTAAACAGGAAGAATCGGAAGCCACTATAAGACGCCAAGACGATGTGATTTGTAGTCTTAACGAAGAGAACCAATTCCTTAAGCAAGGCTGTTGGCTCTTGAAAAGTCGCTTCTCAAGATAAATTATAATGTCGATAAAGACAAAGAACCTGGCTCATCAGTTTACAAAGTTAAAAGTATTGACAAAGCGACCGCTTTTCATGCCAGTGAACAATCTAACAAAAGTAACCTCAGCTCAGTTAACACTGAATTACTTAATACCACTCATGACAATATTCTTGCTCGGCATAATAACAACGGACAATGCAATGCCGATGATTTGAATAATAATCAAATTGACCTTGCAATTGATGATGCTGTGTTTTCCCCAAAACAGCAGAATGAAAATAATACACACAAAGGCATAAATTTGAACTTGCAATCCGAATCGCAGCAGTCAACCAGCATAGAAGGGAATAAACCTAGATATGATCTGTCCCCAAAAACCTCTCATGACAATAACCTTATTCGGCATAATGACAACAGCCAATGCAATGCCGACGATTTGAAGAATAATCACATTGACCTTACAAATGATGATGCCGTGTTTTTCCCAAAACAGCAGAATAAAAACAATACACACAAAGGCTTAAATTCGAACTTGCAGTCGGAATCGCAGCAGTCAATTAACAGCGAATGAAAAAACCCAAATACAATCCGTCTCTAAAAACCTCTGTCCCGTGCCCTTTCTCATACGCCGTGGTAGATGTTTTAAAGGCGACCGATGCGACTTTAAACACCCAAAACCATCTGAAACACGGAAATGCAATATACCATGTCCTTTTCTGCATAAAAGAGGGTACTGTCTGAAGAAAGAGATGTGTGATTTTTCCCACGACAAATTGATACGTAACTCATCCCCCATGCCCTATCCAGGCAATTATGCTTCTCCTGAGTTTTTATCCCACCGATTCACCAAACCATTTCCGCTGTACCAGAATTATTATTACCGAGAACCTTGGAGAAATTTCCCCCATTGAATCCTTTAATGGAAATTCCAACCCCTATATGGTCACAATATCCAAATCCCTATCCTCCAGCCATACAGCCCCAAATGAGTTACCCAAATCAGTACCCTTCACCAGGGCCTTTTTTAACATACAAGCTGGGTGGGGCAAATGCCCCCCAGTCCCCCCTTGTCCCCCCCCCACGAAATCACATTTTGCCCCCCCAGGAAAAATCCTTTTTTCCTAAAATTATACAAACAAACCAGCGAAGAATAACAAATAGATAAACGGAAAGTAAGTTTCAGGCTTTATCCTTTGTACTTGTTTAACAAAATCGATTTAAATTGTTACGTTTTTCTACCACTAAGTAATAATGAATTATTGTTAATAATTTTTTATTTTTTGGATGCTCAGAATGCAGGAAATAGCATTTACGGGTTTCAAATTTCAAAAGTTTTCTGGGGATTATGCCCCCACACATGTCGTGGCCTTCGGCCATTGGTATTTCCCTCTAATAATCAATGATAAATTACGGTTAATATTCTTTTTTACTTATTGTGCGTTTCTTCCTTCTAAATATTTCAAGCATAAATTTCAAGCATAAATTTTAGAGCAAATTTGGATGTTCAGAATGCAGGAAATGGCATTTCCGTGCTTCAAATTTCAAAAATTTTCTGGAGGAGTAGACCCCCACACACCTGACCATTGCTATCCTCCTCTGATAAGTAATGATAAATTATGGTTAATATTTTTTTACTTTTTGTGTGTTTTTTCTTCTTTTATTTCAAGTACAAGTATAGTTAGCATACATTTTGGAGCACATTTGGATGCTCAGAATGCAGGAAATGGCATTTCCGTGCTTCAAATTTCAAAATTTTTCTGGGGGAGTACTCCTCCAGACCCCCCCCCCCATTCATGTGTGGTATGTTGGCCACACACATGCCCTTCAGTCATTGCTATCCCCCTCTAATATATTATCTCACAGAAAGGTCCCTTTTCAAAAAATGCCCCCCCACGGGAAAATCCTTAAAAAAGCCCCTGCCCTTCAACCCTGATGATGAATTACACCAGACCGCCCAGGCGTTGACAGGTGATTACGATTCATCCAAGTTTGTTTGTCCCTTCCTTAACAATGTTACCATAAGATACCCGATACCGAACTAAATAAGATACCCGTCAGAATTACTCCACGCACAAGACAGCACAGTCATATAAAATCTCTTAGACATTGCAGCATTTTGAGAGCTATACAAGTAAATAAAACTGCTCCGAGTCAACCACGCTTAATTCCATGTTGCTCAGTGTTGAACGCCAGCTCTTTGGAAAACCTGATGCTTTTGCTGCTTTGTGCGCGGACATTAAGTGCAATAACATAGATGTTTGTTGTATAACCAAAACATGGCTCAAACCGACTATACCTAGCTCCCTCGTTTGTCCTCCCAATTTTTCGATCATTCGAAAGGATAGAACAGACTGTCGAGGAGGAGGTGTCGCGATCTTATGCAGGAATGATTGGAGAATGCAGCTACTACCTGATCTGGATAATCCATTCGAATGTTTATGGACAAAAATTATTACACAAAACTCTGAATTCTTTGTTGCAACTATTTACCACCCACCTGACTATGAGTATAATGAGCAAGACCTTATTGAATTCCTTATCGACTCGTGCGAACAACTATTGTTATCTAAACCGAATTCAAATATAATAATTGCTGGTGACATTAACAATTTAAATATTCGATCTGTTCTTAATCAACTTCCATTTACCCAACTCGTTAAGAACCCTACGAGAGGGCTAAAAATATTAGATGTCTTTATTACAAATGTCCCAAACTATTAGAAATCTGTTAAAGTTTATAAAAAGCTTGATGAGATCCGACCATGATATGGTTATCACATACCCCCGAAACAAAGTTCAAGCAATAAGGACAAATTCCTATTTCAGAGATGTGAGACAACAACATCAATTGAATATGCTTCGCGAACTTGAATCTATTGATTGGAACACGATAATTATGAATAGTCATAACCTAGATGAGATAACCCTAAAATTTTATGAAATAATATGGCCAAAATTCGATAAGAGCTTCCCACTAATTAAGGTCAGAACGTCATCACGCGATCCTCCGTTCATGTCTCCTCTTGTGAACCACCTTCTGAATCAAAGGAAAAGAGCCATACAAAACGGAAATACTGAAGCAAATACACCATTGCAAGAAAAAAATCAACAAGTTAATTCGGGAAAATCAATTAAGTGCAGTCAAACAGGAGTTTGGCAACCAGAAAACTGGATCGAAAAGTTGGTGGTCTAACGTAAATAGCATTACATCGAGGAAAAAGAAACGTGATGTATCTGTAAGTGCTTCTCTTAACCCTAGTGAAATTAACAAATATTTTCAAAGTGTGAATACAGACCCAAGATATACGACTCCCGAGCCTCTTCAAATCTCCGAAGGAACAAGAATTCCTTCGTTGTCAATTCATGAAGTTCAACATCTTTTACTGAATCAAAAACGGTCTTCATCGGGTCCGGAGAATCTGCCATATTGGTTTTGGAAATCGTTTGCAACTAAAAACCAGCAAAGTACCTCAGAAATGGAAATCCGCTAATTTATTACCAATCCCTAAAGAATCACCATTAAATTCGTGCAACCAGTTAAGACCAATCACTCTGACGGACATCATCATGAGACTATTCGAGAAATGCGTGTATAAATCTGAAATCGAACCTATCACAAGAAATAACATTGCTCCTGACCAATTTTCTTATAAAAAGGGTCACAACTCAACTATGGCCCTGATTAAATCCCAACATCAATGGCTAGAGTGGCTGGATAAAAACGCTAATTATGTTAGAGTGCTGTCGTTCGATTTCAGCAAAGCATTTGACAGTGCACGTGCCCCACGATCTTTTGTTTGAAAAAGTTAGAAAGCTACCATTAATCCGTATGTGGTGAACTTGTTAATTAGCTTTCTAGAAAATAGAATACAAAGAGTAATGGTTGATGGAATGGTTACAGAATATTTATATATTAATCGTGGTGTCCCTCAAGGGACTGTTTTAGGACCAGTTCTTTTCTCAATAATGGTTGATGATATTAAAACTGCTGATCCTAGTAATGCGTTAGTCAAATTTGCTGACGACTTGACGTTAGGAGTGCCTGGCAACGAAAGTGGTGACACATCTCGATCTGAAGCTGCCTGTTTACAGGATTGGGCGGAAGAGAATAGAATGCCCTTAAACTTAGAAAAAGCGTACGACATGGTTGTTCGCAGACACACCTCAGTAGTTTTGCCCGAGCTTATCCCTTCAATTAAGCGAAAAACATGGCTAAAGCTTTTAGGAGTTACGCTACAAGATAATCCGTGCAACTGAGATTTGCACTTCGACGAAATGCTCAAAAAAGAAAGTGTTTGCAAATACTATGGACTATCAATTAAACAATTAGATCTGCTGTTTGATAGCCTAATTATGTCGATATTCACTTTTGCTATTGAGCTGTGGGGTTGTGCATATGACGGTAAATATTAGAACCAAATAGATAAATTCATTAAACGTGCACATAAGAATGGTTATATATCAAAACGAACACGCATGAAAGAAATACGTGATAAGAGAGATAAGAAACCGTGGAACAAAATAACATCAACTGAGGACAATGCATTGCTTGAACTGCTGCCGGAAGAAAGAAGTAGGTTACTTAGGCCTAGAGGGCATGAGTATGAACTCCCCCTAGTGAGGACAGAAAGATTAAAAAGGTCGTTGATAAATCGTTGTCTGTATAACTTTGTTTAGATTTTAATGTATTTAAAACGTTTTAATACTTTTTACGCTTCTTAACTTACATTGTAAATATAACTATCTAGATCAATTACCTTTCGATTGTAAACTCAGACGGATGTATCTGAGTATTTTAATAAAGACTATTATTATTATTATTATTATTATTATATCTGATAGATCAGTTGGATATAGGCCCTGAATACGACCGCGACATTCGATAATTCCTGCTGTATTTTCTTGTAAATTTAATTGAGCGCTGTCAAAAACCAATTTTGGATGAGCCTTTGCTCGGGCTTGCTCTCGTAGGATCCACCAGTATCTTTGTCGTTGTAATCCTTCCGCCGTACGAGAACCGTAAATCTTGGGCTTTTGCGATGAATTGTGCACGAATATGGAAATCCAAGCAAACACGCAAGATAGTGGGCAAATCACGTTTTTCTCACAGCTCATCGAAGACATCAGGTTCATCTTCAACGGTGGCAAGAACAGATTGACTTATCTTGGATTCAGCAGCAGATTCTACCGATATCTGCAGGATTTTGGGCTGTGGGTAAATATCTCCAACCATTAACATCATGAGCTTGTATCTTTTGAATTCTGTTAGCAACGAATTGGCAGTACTCCCCATTGCCACAGACTCAGTGGAGAGCGACTGTACTCTCGAACCAACAATACACTCCGGTTATAGGAAAGCCTTCGATTGCCTCGCGAACATTCTGGACGAGATTCACCGCCATATGCCCAGCAACCAATTCCAATCTTGTAATAGTTAAACCACGTTTCGCCAATCTTGATTTAACCGTAACAAGACCTTGACTAACTCCTGATTGCTGTCGAACGACGGCGTACACTGCAGCACAAACACCATGTCGCCAAACAAGTGAAGCTCCACTGCTTCGATGGGCTCTCTGTGGGGACCAAGGTACGGTTAAAGGTGACGCGCTCGGGTAAGGAATCTTCACACGCTTTGAGGGTGTCTTGGTTCCCAACCAGTAAGATGTTGCTCGATAACACCTCCAAGTAAGAAAGGCGAAGGTGCTAGGCCAAACAATGCACGTGTAAATCGATAGGTTTCCACTTCGTTTGAATCGAGGCTCTTCAACCAGTAGAACCGAAGTGCATCACGATCACCATCTCTAATTCGCACTTGTTGAAAGGCTTTGCGTTAATCACCGGTCAAACACACTGGGTGAAATCTCACACGAACCAATCCATTCCACAATTTGTTTTGTAGAGCGGGCCTGGGTCTAGGCAGTCGTTAAGCGAAGGGGAATTTCGGCCGGCTTTTGCTGAGCAATCGTAACCAATTCTCATCTTTGTGCTCTCGGCTTCATCACGGATAACGGCGCGGTGAGGCACGTAGCATTCTCTTCCCACGGCTTTTTCAGGCGCCCTTTCAACAACCCCTTTGGCGAGTTGTTCTTGAATGATTGTGTCATACGCTTCGAGATTTCCGTCTCGTCTCAATTTATTGTTTTGGCATTTCATACGAGTGAGGCTGCAGCCAGAGCGATTGGAGGGTAGCGGTGTGTGGTTGCCTTTCCACGTTAGGTTGGTCTCGTACCAGCCTTCGACTGGATGGCGGGTCAGCTGCTGACGAAATTCCTTGCAGACCTCCCCCTGATCGCCGGGGGGTGAATCTTCCAAACCAACCACGTCAAGAGTACATAAACGGTCATAGTCATTGGTAGTGTTGACTGCGAGAAACCAGGTTTTAAGATCGGCTCCGTCTCCAGGTGCCATTATAGTCCAGCTAAAACGTGTTAATTCAGCGACTGATTCGCCTTGTCTACCAACTCGTGTCTGGGTTTGCGTGCGAATTTTGGCACATTCGTTTGCGCCAATTATCAAATGTACAGGTAATTTTCTATTATTATTATTATTATTTTATTATTATTATTATTATTATTATTTAAAAATATTTTAAAACGGTAGCTCTTCAGGTCTCGTAGGCACCTGTTTTTCAAGAGGCCGTTTATTACAGTATTTACAAGCTATATAAATATAATAACACAAATATACACACAAAAACAGAGAAAACATAACGAACTTAATAATTGCATGCACTACATTTGTATCTAAAAATATCCTATCCTATTTAAATATTTACAAAGTTACCAAAAGGAATCAAATGCCGTCAAGAACACGTTTAAATTTGTTAAGGCTAATGCCTTTTTCTTTTGCTGTAGTTGATAAGTCATTCCAAAGGGATGCTGCTGAATAACTGAAGCTCTTTTTCATAAAATTTGTTTCAGGTTTTCCAAGATCATAGTTGTTATTGTTACTTCTTAAATCATATCTGTCATTTATTTTAATTTTGAACATGTTGCAAATTGATGATGGCATTTTTTCGTTTCGTATTCTGTGCATAAAAATCGATTTATTGGTTTTATAGCGTTGGTTTAAAAGTTGCCAGTCTAATTCTTTTAAAACATCCTCAGAACTAACTTCATAAGTTTTACCAGTGATGATTCGGGCCGCTCTGTTTTGTAATTTCTGAAGTCTGTTTTTTAAGTAATCACAACAGTTATCCCAAACCAAGCTACAATAATCAAAATGTGATGGCACAATGGCATTATATATTTTTACTAAGGTTGATTTGGGAACAAACTGTTTTATTCGTCGCATCATTCCTATTCCTTTTGAAGCTTTTGTGACAATATTTTGGATTTGATGATTCCATAAAAGATGTTCATCAATAATTACGCCTAAAGTTTTTGATTTGTGAACCCGTTTAATGACTGATTCACCAAGTTCAATTTTAGGGTCCGTTAGTACTAAGTTTGAAATTCGTTGTCTTGAACCAATAATCATGTATTCAGTTTTATCTTTGTTAAGTGTAAGTTTGTTTGCAAGTAACCATTGGTGTATATTTTCTAAGTCCACGTTAATGCGTTCTTGTAGTTCGTCATTTGTTTTGCCATTGGTTGAAACATTTGTGTCATCGGCAAACATACTTGCTGAAGATGAGGTCAGGCAGTTTGGGAGGTCGTTTATATATAGTAAGAAAAGAAGTGGCCCAAGATTAGAACCTTGGGGTATTCCACATTTAACTGTTCTTGTCTTGGACATTGTTTGATCTACCTTACATATTTGAATCCTGCTAGAAAGATAAGACTGGAACCAAGCAAGCGTATGACCTCTTATTCCATAACAATGCATTTTTTAAACAATATATTATGATCAACACAGTCAAACGCTTTCTTGAGATTCAAAAAAATCACTCCATTTAACAAACCCTTATCCATATTCATTAGCCATTGGTTCGTGATGTTAAGTAGAGAAGTTTGTGTAGAGTGATTTTTCCTAAATCCTGCTTGTTGTTCTGCAAGAATGTGATTAGTTTCAAGATAAATTTCTAGTTGCTCTGTAACTAATTTCTCATATATTTTAGCAACTGAGGATAGAACCGAGATTGGTCTATAATTATCGCAATTAGTTTTGCTTCCAGCCTTATGAATTGGAGAAATGATAGCAATCTTGAAGTCTTCAGGAAATATACCAGTGTTTTTAGATGCGTTAAAGATTGCTGACAGGGATGGGTGCTATTACTTCAGCAGCGTCTCTTAGAAGTTTACCGGGTATTCTATCATGCCCTGCTGATTTGGATGTTTTAATTGTAGAGAGCAACTTATATACCTTAGTTAATGAAACATTTTGTATCGTAAATTGTGTATCGGACTTAGTCACGTATGACTCAAATGTCCTTGAGCTCTGTGGCATGTTATTAACCAAACGAGATGCAACTTCGTTGAAATGTGAATTTAAAGCATCTGCAATTTCCTGTTTTTTAGTCAAATTTTGATTATCGTTCTGGATTTCAGATATAACAGTTGTTTTTGACTGTTTGTTTGTAAGTTTATTAATTGTTTTCCACATTTTTTTTGGGTTGTTATCACAGTCATTTAAAGTATTTGTAAAGTAAATTGCTTTTGTATTCTTAATTAATCTATTCAAATCATTTCGTGTGCGTTTATAAGCATCATGGAAATGTTTTGATCCTGTCTTAACTGCTTTTTTCTTTAAGAGTGGATGTCAGCAAAAATCGGATATTTTAGCAAATTCGCGGCAACGGTCGAGAAATCGATTCCGCTCATATTTTAACTATATATAGGCCCTAATGTAAGAAATACCACTGTGTAGTTTGCTTGGTGAAATACGGCTTAGTATTCGGGAAAATCGCAGTTCGAATTAAATTCGCTAATTTTGAGCCGATAATTTAGGTTAAGTTCAACAACTTCTCGGGGCGAAACAAAATAACCCAGCGCTGTAGTATTCTCACACGAAGTTAATTGCTATCTTAATATACAACAGGTAGAGTTTCAGCCATTATTGTTCGGGTTTTTGATTTTTATTGCAGTTCTCTTTGGAATACATAGGAAGCCTCTCTCAAAATATGTTCAAAGTAAACTAATTTTTTTCCATGTGCGACGAAATTTTTTTTACTAAAAAACAACCCACAATCGCCTTTAAATGGTGTATTTTGTGAATCGTTTACAATTTTCTTGGGGAAATTATTTTTCGTGATGCAGCGCGTCCCCAAAGTTGTAAGAAATTTACAAATTTTGCCTGTCGGCAAGATCAATCAATTTATATATTGTGTACATATGTAGCGTTTATAAAAGCGGCTCAGTGTTTGTATTTTAAATTAAGAACAAACTGAATGTTCTACATTGTAAAAGGAACTGACTAATCACAAACTATGTTAAATTCCCTTTTTAAATACATCGATTGATCCATATAGTATCTACTAGTGAGTGCATAATATTGGTGTCTATTTCTGTCTATCGTCAAACTCACATTTTATACGAGTTATTTCGACAAAACGAATATTTTATGTGTAATAAACAAACCGGACGTAATTCACTGACATTTTCAAAATTTCCTGTCCTTTTCAGCTACTCGTCTTTTATGCTTATCATTCCGTTAATGACTCAAGTTGTTGATTTTTTCCCTCCACTTTCTCGACAAACACAATATTAAACACAATCATTTATTTTTGTGGGAGAGGGGTTCGGGGTTGTGAAGAGTCCATTTACAGTATATGACAAGCATCATGCCTACTCATATGTCACACCCTATTAGCTGCACTGATTCTGAACTGGCACTGATAATCTGACCAAGATTCACTTGGACAGTCCTAACCTGACCAACTGGAGCACGAAACACCAGTATGGACAGTCCTTACCCTGACCAATCGGAGCACAAAACCCCTATGGACAGTCCTTAACCTGACCAAAGGCACTAAACCCATATGGCCAGTCCTTAACCTGAACATGGGGGGTAAACCCCCATGGCCAGTCCTTAAATTTAGATATATTATGTGTGACATATATTGAGTCTATGGGCCTGAAGTTGACATTTTATGGAGACTTCATCCCGAACCACAATTCTTTATTCTAATCATTCAACAAGAATTTACAAGCAAAAATATTTTCTATGCACCAATAATATCCACAGTGAATTACATACGCTAGTCTACCAACAATGTTTGTGACTTTTGCACTTGAATGTGCTTCCTTGTACTTTTGATTGTTCCAGAATAATGTCCTTGAGAATTACATATGCTAGTCTACCAACAATGTTTGTGACTTTTGCACTTGAATGTGCTTCCTTGTATTTTTAATTGTTCCAGAATAATGTCCTTGAGATTGGTTGGCAATAACAGCATCCCTTTGTACGTAGTCATCCACAGTATTATATATACCAAAACATACAATACACGTTTATCTATCTATATCTTTCCATGGGAACAGGTATATTGTCAATATACATAAGAATGTTATTCATAGGCGTACCGGGCGGGGGGGCGGGGGGGGCGGCAGCCCC